TTGCGTACTGCGCATCCCATCCGTTCTGCGCGTCTCCACGTTTTCAAGTCGTCCTGTCAAGTTGCACTACGACGAGTTCTCACCAAAAACTCGAAGTGGGTAGAACGACTGGGAAGAGCTGGTTTTCAAAGGTAAATTTCGATCGTTTAATGCAGTTTCTTTTCGTTTCTAGCCTCTCTTTATCATCTTGAACATTCCTTATATTATGTTTTATGTAAAATACTGCTTTTGAAGTCGAGGAAAAGCAACCGAACGCGATATTTCCTACACAGAGTAAATTTGCATTTACCCGGAAAAGTTGGGTGTCATCGCTAACATGGAAAGCTGAGAAAACGACTTCGAGTACGAGTACGGCTTGAAGTCGTTCTCCTACTCGTACTCGTTGTTGATGCCAACATCCTCTAATAAAGCAAGTAGGACGCCAAGTGTTATTTTTGTTGAATAATAAAAGACTAATAAAAGAATAAATATCAAACCAGAAATTACTCTCTTCAAACTGTAAATTATAAATGATCCTGAGAGAATATTCAGTGTGTTAAGGATTTCTCCGTTGTACTGTTAGCTCTATACAAGAGAGGAAGGGCTATTCTTTTTTAATTTCCGTTTCGCTGACACAGCTTAAGCAGAAATCTCTCTGTAGTCGTTTTCGTCTACAAGACGAATAGCAATATCGCTCTCCGCGTCTTTCGCCATTTTCGTGAAGGGCGCGAGGCTCTGAGCGTGGGTCATCCACGTGCAACACATTCGCGCTATGTGATTGGCTGTTGTTTAATCCCCCTTGAGATTTGTGGTGTTAAAAATAACTCGAGACGAATTACCTATGGAATAGGGTGTATATGGAGGATGTCTTCTCTGTCCCCTTTATCCTCTCTTAAGTAAAATGTATGGGACAGAACCCCGATATAACGATCTTCGATATATTGATATTCCCGATATAACGATGAGTTTTTAGCGCACCGAGCGTAAAATCTTCCCCGATATGACGATATTACAATATCAGTACACAGATACAATTTAAACAAAACATTGAATTTAATACATAACATTACAGTAATCAAGTACAGTAATCTGTAACGTTTCTGTCAACAGCTTTCAGTTTACGATGCCTCTTTACCCTCCTTGTCATTTAAGAGCCCATGACTGTAAATATCGAGAATCGCTGGCCAGGCTAAAAAAATCGAAAATTCTAATAACTTGTCAGAAAAACCCCTTTAGGGAACTGTCTTCGAAAAAAATATTTTCAACTTTCAAGAATCTATAGTTTTCGAGAAAATGGGCAAAAACGAACATAGCGGTTTTTACCTAATTAATTATGCAAAAAATTAGAGTAAAAATGAACTACTTTATCGCGTCTGTACCGAGGCAAGATTCAAAGGTATAAAAGAGAAATATTTTTGTTTAAAAGAATTCTATCTTTTCTTTCTATCCATAGTATGTTTTAAACCATAAACTTGATTTTGAATTTTTTACGGTTTTTTAAAAACTACCATCAATGGCACTTTTTAAAATGGCTAAAAAATGAGCAACTTCAGAGGCAAAAAACTCACCTTGGTATTTGCGATACCTAGCCAAAATGTATACTAGGACAAAGTTCAGCTCTTATATTAACAGAATATGAAATAAAAAATCTGGGTTCTCCGGATTCGCTTTAACAAAATAAAAAGTTTCGTGACCACCAGTGGAAAAATGTCACCGATTTGCATAAGTCAGATTTGTAGAGAAATGTTGCGGCAGCCGGTTTTGTTTCAATTCAGGGTCAGTATATATTGTTCGAAAACATCACGAAGCAAGAAAACGGTTTTTGATAACGTTTATGTTAAAATATCGGAGTAATTAACCGTTCACAAAAAATAATAATAAAAAACGACCTCGAAGAAGCGTTATATAAAAAGCGCCGAATTATTATGTAAACTATATCCCATGTCTCTCGTTTCTTTTCCTAACATCCTTGTATTAGCATCCATCTGTATCATCGTAAATTCGCCTCCGGTATATCTAAAATAGGTAGGTACATTTTCCTTGAAATTTCATTTTGAAGGAGGTTTTTTGCAAACGGGATACACTGCGTGAGAGGAAATCATAAACCGAACAGTTAGAGTAACAATGTCACGCAACGACGTCTCGAGCAACTCCGCCTTCTTTTACTGATTTTTTTCTCCTTATGAAATTTCATGTTTTGAACAGACAATGCGTTGTTCGCAACATCATTTGTTTCTCACTAGTTTATTTTCTTTTCAGAAATAAGGAATTCTAGCTTTGCATTCCTGTCAGTCACGCACTAAAAGTTAGCATTTTCTTGTCAGAGATGTTGAAATCTAATTTTTTTTACTACGTATTACAAACAACAAACCGTCCCTTGGTTAATTTCTTTACTTTTTTCACAAATAGAGGTATAATTAGGCAGCTACCAAAGGCCCTAGGAAACAGCTAAGTGATCGTAGTTCATACGACGTGGTCCAGGGGTTTCTCTCCTCCAAAACGATTCCGAAACATCTTTCCC